TTTGACTATTTTTGGCGATCTTTGAGTTGTTGTTCATCCTTTTGGAGTTTTAGTCCAAAATCCGCCTGTAGGGGGACATGCCCGTGTCCCATACCGAAGACGTTGAGAAGCAGATGGTCGTTCAAGAATCTTTGATTTCGGAGGGAGTCACTCGGCGGCCGCAGAAGTCACGCGGAGCGCCCCAAGACATCCTGCAGTCGGGGGTCTAGGCCAGAGGAAAAGAGTAAGTTCGGATACTCTCCCTCCTCTCCCTCTCTTACGTCCTGTCTGCCCCCTCGCTCTCCCATCCTCCTTCAGCCGCTCCCTTGCACAGCGTCGCGCCAATTAGCAGAGCGGCGCTTTGCTACTGCACGCCCAGAGGTCCAGAAGCCGAGTAGTTCTGGACTTCGGGGCCCCACCTTTCTTCTGGGAGGCGCGCCCGAACAGGAGTCCTGGTGCGATTTCGGGGCCCATGCCCGAAGAATCTGAGCACGCTCCGCTCCCCGCCACTCCCGTCCTCGTCCTCCTCTCTCCCTCGTCGACGTCGCCGCCGTCGCCGTCGCCGTCGTCGTCGTCGCCGTCGCCGTCGTCGTCACCGTCGTCGTCGCCGTCGTCGCCGTCGTCGCCGTCATCGTCGTCGTCGTCGTCGTCGCCGTCGTCGCCGTCATCGTCGTCGTCGTCGTCGTCGTCGCCGCCCCCGGGGAGGCCGAGGCCGCCCCGCGGCCGGCGGCAGCTGGCCCTCGGCGGCGCCAGCGGCCTCCGGCGCCCGCCGGAGCTGCCGGTGTGCGTGGGCGCGGCACCGGACAGGCCTCGGATCGACGGCGGGCCCCTTGAGAGGATCGACGGCGGTCGTCCTCCTCCTCCTCCTCCTCCTCCTCCTCCTCCTCCTCCTCCTCCCTCCTCCTCCCTCCTCCCCCTCCCCTGAGAGGATCGATGGCGGTCCGGGGGCATCGACAGGGGGGGGATAGGCATAAGGGTTAGGTCGGGCGTGTGCCTCTACAGGGGGGGGTATTCCAAAATAGTAGAACAAATAGTCTGGGGGCGTTTTTTTTGCTACTATTCCTGGCTATTTGTGAGCATTTTTTTGACTGCTTTCATTTTTCCTTCAAAATCCGCCTGTAGGAGGACACGCCTGACCTAAGGGTAGGCGTAGGGGGGGGGGCGCATCGACCCACAATTGCCCATCGATCGCCGATAGGGACCCGATAGCCCCAGCCTGCACACGAAGGTGCAGATTCATTATCGGGTGCCTATCGCCGACCTATCTGCGATGTATCGCCGATTCCAGGTCGATGTATACCCCCCTGTGCCAGTCCCCCCCAATCGTTGCCCCTCAGTCATCGCCATCGCCATCGAGGTCATGATAATGGTACGTTCAAGGATCTCCTCCGAGCTGGTTCCAGGGCCGTCAAAGAGCAATCCTGAACGAAAAAGCGCCTCCTGGGATGTGATTCAGAGCTCTGGGGGCCAGACATCGAAGGTCTGGACCCCCCCCCCTCTCGGAGTAGGGCCAGTCGAGTCAACGGCGGCCCTCCCTGACGTGTTTCGGCCTCTCTGGACCTCCTGGAGCCTTCTCGTCGCCACGGCCCGCTCTGCCTCGAAGAACGGGCTAGGAGACCCCAGGAGCAGTCCAGGGACAGATTTTGAACGGGTTTGAGCCAGGTGGGAGTGCCGCCGTCCTCCGGCTCCTCTTCCTCCTTCTCCTCCCTCTTCCTCCCGGCTTGCTCGTGACGCCTGTTGCTCTCTTCTTCTCATCCTCCTCCGCCCCCTCGGTCTTCCTCCCCCGCCGCCTCCCCGCTCGGCATCACTGCTGCGTCTCCGCCATGCTGGAGCGGACTGCCTCTGCCTCTGCCTCGTTGGAGCGGACTGCCTCTGCCTCGCCGCCGACGGAAAAAAAACGCGTGCACTTGTGCGCGTGTGAACGTGTGCGCGTGTGCACGTGTGCACGAGTGCACGTGTGCGCGTGTGCACGTGTGCACGTGTACGCGCAAGCCGGCCAGAGACGGACAGCCCGCCTCCTTCGCTCGCCTCAGGCAGCGTCCGCGGCGGCGGGCGCCCCGACCCCGCAGCGTCTCCTCGGTGCGCGCCCCCGCGTCCAGTCGAGCCCGCTGGCCTCGATCGGGCCTCCTCCGCTGGCCACCCGAACGCCGCCCGAAGCTCGGACCACCCCCCGCGGCAGGCCCAGCAGGGGCTTCCTGCAACCAGCCGGCCGCCTGGCGCATGGCGATCTCGTCCTCCCCGACACGACTGGCCGTCGCCATCGCTCTCTCGAGGCCCGCTGACCCCCCCCCCACCGTCCCGCCCTCGCGGGCCTCGCGGGCCGCATGCCGTCCACCGAATGCTGGTGCCCCCTCGGTGCCGTCGATGCGGTTTGGGTCCCGCTGGCCGCCCGTTGCTGCCCTGCCGTCTCGTCCTGCGTTGCTTTCCCTCCCACTCGCCTCCCTGTCGGCTGTCTCTCCCCCTGCGGTTCGTGGGCCGGCCTCTACCCGCCTTCCGGATGCCCCTCCGTGAGTCCCCGCGCAGCGTGGCTCCCTATGGGTGACACCATCCCACCTCGCCAGAGCTGCCTTGGTGAGGACGCGGCGCGAGCGCCCCGTCTGGCATCCGCTTGTCTTAAACCGATTATGCTGCCGTGTCGCTGCGCACAGGGCCGAGAAGCCAAAGTGTGTGTGTTCTCCGCCTCGACGCTGCGCGCGAGGCCGCGATCGCCAAATTATCCCGGCAAAGCAACCTAACAGCGATGTGTAGAAACATATATGGAAGCATTCCCCTTAAGATTCAGATGAGAATCCAGTTGTAGAGTTCTGCTGTTCTCGCAGTCGCAGTCGCATTCGTGATGACAGTCGCAGTGGCAGCGGCAGTCGCAGTCACAGCCTCAGCCTGCCTCAGTATCGGCCTGCCTCAGCCTCAGCCTCAGCCTGCCTCAGCCTCAGCCTGCTTCAGCCTCAGCCTCAGTCTGCCTTCGGCCTCAGCCTCTGTGCCTCAGCCTGCCTCAGCCTCAGCCTGCCTCAGTATCAGCCTGCTTCAGCCTCAGCCTCAGCCTGCCTCAGCCTCAGCCTCAGCCTGCTTCAGCCTCAGCCTCAGCCTGCCTTCAGCCTCGGCCTCAGCCTCAGCCTGCCTCAGCCTCAGCCTCAGCCTCAGCCTCAGCCTCAGCCTCAGCCTCACCCTGCCTCAGCATCAGCCTGCCTCAGCGTCTGCCTCAGCCTGCCTCAGCCTCAGCCTCACCCTCAGCCTCAGCCTCAGCCTGCCTCAGCCTCATCAGCCTCCTCTGCCTCAGCTCAGCCTGCCTCAGCCTCAGCCTCAGCCTGCTTCAGCCTCAGCCTCAGTCTGCCTTCAGCCTCAGCCTCTGTGCCTCAGCCTGCCTCAGCATCAGCCTGCATCCGCCTCAGCCTCAGCCTCAGCCTCAGCCTGCCTCAGCATCAGCCTGCCTCAGCGTCTGCCTCAGCCTGCCTCAGCCTCAGTCTGCCTTCAGCCTCAGCCTCAGCCTCAGCCTGCCTCAGCATCAGCCTGCCTCAGCCTCAGCCTCAGCCTCAGCCTGCCTAGCCTCAGCCTGCCTCAGCGTCTGCCTCAGCCTGCCTTCAGCCTCGGCCTCAGCCTCAGCCTGCCTCAGCCTCATCAGCCTCAGCCTGCCTGCCTCAGCCTCAGCCTCAGCATCAGCATCACCATTCTCATTCTCTGCATCAGCATCAAAATGTCGCCCGGGAATGGAATTCTGGGAACTCGAAGAGCACGAAGTGGCCTACAGTTGGCTCTGGGCATTCAAAATGTGGCCCGGGAATGGAGTTCTGGGCACTCGAAGAGCACGAAGTGGCCTACAGTTGGCTCCGGGCATTCAAAATGTGGCCCGGGAATGGAGTTCTGGGCACTCGAAGAGCACGAAGTGGCCTACAGTTGGCTCCGGGCATTCAAAATGTGGCCCGGGAATGGAGTTCTGGGAATCGAAGAGCACGAAGTGGCCTACAGTTGGCTCCGGGCATTCAAAATGTGGCCCGGGAATGGAGTTCTGGGAAGTCGAAGAGCACGAAGTGGCCTACAGTTGGCTCCGGGCATTCAGAATGTGGCCCGGGAATGGAGTTCTGGGAGGTCGAAGAGCACGAAGTGTGTGACTGTTTGCGAAAAGCGCATTCGGACACGAGTTCGGACACAGCTCCCCGGATGCCGCCCCGACCCCCCTGTGGAGTCATCTGCTGCTCTCTTTTGACCCCACTAGAAACCTATCAGCAAAAGCTGTTAGGTAAACATGTGTGTCTGTGTGTATCTGTGCGCGTACGCGTGCGTGTGTTGTGTGTTGTGTGTTGTGTGTTGTGTGTTGTGTGTTGTGTGTTGTGTGTTGAGTTGTGTTGTGTTGTGTTGTGGTGTGTTGTGTTGTATTGTGTTGTGTTGTGTTGTGTTGTGTTGTGTTGTGTTGTGTTGTGTTGTGCTGTGTTGTGTTGTGTTGTGTTGTGTTGTGTGTGCGTGCGTGCGTGCGTGCGTGCGTGCGTGCGTGTGTGTGTGATTGTGTGCGTGTGTGTGTGTGTGCGTGTGTGTGTGTGTGTGTGTGTGTGTGTTTGTGCGAGTGTGTGTGTGTGTGTATGTGTGTCTGCGTGCGTGCGTGCGTGCATGCGTGCGTGCGTGCGTGCGTGCGTGCGTGTGCTTGCGTGTGCGCACTCTTTGCTTGCCACCGGCGGCTGCACTTCTCTTCGCTCGCGCTGCCGATTCTCCGGGCTGGACTGCCACCTGCAGGAGGCTGGACCACTTCTCTGGGAAAGCGCGCAACTAAGTGTGCGTGTGCGCGCGCGTGTGCAGTGCCCCGAAGGGAGGTTGGGCCTGTGCTTCTCAGCTACGTCGTCGGGCCTCGCGCGGTCCAGGAGGGAGCCCGCGTGGCCGGCGCGAGCAGTTCTTCGCAGCCAGGCGAAGACACGACAGCCCGAGGCGTCTGGAAAGAATTCGGATGGCGAGCCAGCGCGAGGAGAGGGGAGGTGTGGTGGCAACTATGGACGGGGAGTCGTGGCAAGTAAGAAGGTGGTGTGGGGAGGATTCGGATGGCGAGCCAGAGCGAGGAGAGGGGAGGTGTGGTGGCAACTCTGGGCGGGGAGTCGTGGCAAGTGCGAAGGTGGTGTGGGGAGGGATCATCTTGGAGAGGGTGAGGGGTGTGCGCAGACTGCGTGTCTGCCTCAGGCGCACGGTCTCCTTGCTGCGCTACCAGGACGACAAGCGGGATTGGTGCGAGCCTCTCTGGGGGGCAGGGGCAAGGACGTTCGCATATGGGCCTTCAGGGAAGACAGGTGACCCATGATGATGGAACTGGTGCTGGTGGTGGTCGTGGTGATATTGATGCTAGCATTTGATGCGCAGGCGGAGGGTATGTTTAAGTCGGGCATGTCCCTCTACAGGCGGAATATTCAAAAATAGTCAACACATTTTCTGGGAACGATCTTTTGAGTATGTTTGGGTCATTTTTGAATACTTTTTGAATCTGTTTATTTTTCGTCCACAATCCACCTGTGGGTGGGGGGCATGCCTGACCTAAGGGTATGCGGTCGCAAGACGACGGGGGAGTCGGAGAACGAGCAACGTGGAAGTATTTAAGAGGAGAGTGACGGGGACAGGGGCGGGGAAGCACGAGGGGAAAATGATCTGCTGGAGGAGGAGGCAAAAGGGGGACGGGGAGCCACGACGGGGTGGAACTGTATGAGGAAGATGAGGACCGAGGTGGTTGCGACGAATGGGGAGTAAGAGGAAGAGGAGGAGGAGGAGGAGGAACTGTATGAGGAAGATGAGGACCGAGGTGGTTGCGACGAATGGGGAGGAAGAGGAAGAGGAGGAGGAGGAGGAGGAGGAGGAGGAGGACCGACGTCCTGGAGGGAGGGTGAGTACGAGACGGAATAGAACGGGGGGGGGGGCCTGCACGCCCAGAAACTTGTGGTGTTGCTATTTGGTGCAGATCTATCGGCGAAGTATCGTTGATTCAAGCTTTGTGCCCCCCCCCTGATCCTGCCCCCTTCTTGCTCCCCAGCATCCCTCTCGGGCGCTGGGAGAGACCCCGAGGTTACACATGTCGCTACCCGTTTCTGCGAATCCTCAGGGGCGGGGCTATTGCGCCACTTGGGCTGCGACGTGCTCTGTCCAGTGCGTGCCCCTTCCATGCCCAGGAGGGGAACAGCACACAGACACAATTAAGCGTCGACTCCCAGGAACTTCTGGGCAACTATGGGACGTGGGGGAGAAGTCGAACACCCCGACAGGTGTCTATGTGTGGTGCATCCTGGGATAGGTGCCTATGTATGTGTGTGTGTGTGTCCTGGGGCCCATTTACGTCCATCCCGTCGCAGCCCCTCCCTTCGCTTTCCCGAGGGGGGCGAACAGCGGTGTCGCATAACATGCTCCGCCATCGTGGGCCCTCGCCCCAGGGCGGCTGGGAAGTTCCTGCCCCAACAGTGGCAGGCGGGGGTGGTGTGAACGTTCTAGCCGCCCTGGGCCAGGCGTCCCCGACGGCGGAGAAGTTGACGTTCAACCGATCTTCGCCCGCTACCTCCTCCTCCTCCTCATCCTCCTCCGCCTCCTCCTCCTTCCTCCTCCTCCTCCTCAGTTTTCTCCTCCTCCTCCTCCTCCCCCTTCCTCCACCTCGTCCCTCCTCCTCCTCCTCCTCCTCCTCCTCCTCCTCCTCCTCCTCTCCTCCTCCTCCTCCTCCTAGCCTCCTCCTCATTCTCGTCCTCCTCCTCCTCCTCCCCCTTCCTCCCCCTCCCTCCTCTCCTCCTCCTCCTCCTCCTCCTCCCTCCTCCTCCTCCTCCTCCCCCTCCTTCTTCTCCTCCTTGTCCTCCTCCTCCTCCTCCCCTTCTCCTCCTCCCTCTCCTCCTCCTCCTCCTCCTCCTCCTCCTCCTCCTCCTCCTCCTCCTCCTCTCTCCTCCTCCTCCTCCTCCTCCTCCTCCTCCTCCTCCTCCTCCTCCTCCTCCTCCCCTCCTCCTCCTCCTCCTCCTCCTCCTCCTCCTCCTCCCTTCTCGCTCCCTCCCCCGGGTGGGCCGCACCGCCCGTGGCCCACGGGGCAGCGTATACGATGCGGCTGCCGCAGGCAGCCCTGCGGGTCGTAGAGCGGTTTTGGCAGCGGTTTTGGCACCCGTACAGTGGAAGCCCATGCCGCCGCGGCCGCCGCCGTCGCTGTCGCGCCGCCGCTGCCGCCACGGCCGTCGCCGTTGCCGTCGCCGCCGCCGTTGCCGTCGCCGCCGCCGTTGCCGCCGCCGCCGCCGCTTCCGCCGCCGCCGCCGCCGCCATCGACGCCGTTTTTGTGCCGGTTCCGACGCCGTTTTTTTTGCCGGTTCCGTCGCCGTTTTTTACGGGTTTCCGCTCCGGTTCCAATCCTGGAGCCGTTTTTGTTGCCGTTTCCGGTCGCCGTTTTTTTGCCGTTTCCATTTTCAAAGGACCCTTTTTCGGAAACGGTGGAAAAACGGTCCTGCCGTTTCCGGGGCCCACTAAGCTCTGGGTACCCCGCGAGGCGCCAGCTGGCGACGGCCGACGTGCGGCGTCACTTCGAGCAGCTGCGGGCCCGGGCCCAGGCGGGCGCCGCGCCCCGCCGGGCGGGCGGCCTCGGCGGCGGGCGGGGCGGCGGGGCCCCTCGGCGTCGATCGGCTCGCTCAGCCCAGAGCCCCTCGAGTCGTGACGAAATCACGACTGCAAAAGGTACCCATACCTCCCCAGACATCGGGCGTCTCAAAGAATATCGAGGCGGAGGTTTTTCATAGTTTTTGGCCTTTCGGGGCCCTCGCCGGGCCTCGGGACCGTCCAAAAAACGACTCGGGATAAAAAGCCGGTCCCAGGGAAGTGGTCGGGAGGTCGGGGAGGGAGGAGGAGGAGGAGGAGGAGGAGAGGAGGAGGAGGGAGGAAGAGGAGGAAGGAGGGAGGAGGGAGGAGGAGGAGGAGGAGATGAACATAAGGAGGGGAGGGGAGGAGGAGGAGGAGGAGGAGGAGGGTCGGAGGTCCCGCGTCTCGAAAAAATCGAGGCGTCGGATGTCTGGGTCTACCCTTCCCCCGTTCTCCCCTCTTCCGCCTCCGCGGGGAGGCCCTCCTCGCCCCCCCCGGGCGTCGCCTTGTCGAGATCCGGGTCAGAACGCATCCTCCTCCCTCCTCCTCCTCTCCTCCTCCTCCTCCTCCTCCTCCTCCTCCTCCTCCTCCTTCTCCTCCCTCCCTCCCTCCCTCCCTCCCTCCTCCCTCCCTCCCCCCTCCCTCCTCCCTCCTCCCTCCTCCCTCCTCCCTCCTCCCCCCAGGAGAGGTCCAGGGAGGAGCGGTATCGGTGCCTGTTCGTTTCCCCGACGACGGGAGGGTATGCACCATGTTCGGCCTTTGGGGTCCCTTCACGGCCTCATGGGACCGTCGGGATGAAGAAACGGTCCTGTGGAATGGGTCCAAACATCGGGGGGTCGATGTTATTGAAAAATCATGACGTCGTGGGTCTGGGAAAATGGGTACAGTCGGACCGAGGTATAAAAGATCGAGGTGGCGTCGGGGAGGGTGCCGTAATGTTCTTCGTGTCCGTTGGACGTTCTGGTGCATCCTGCGGGGGGTACCCTTGGACGTCCGTGCTGTGCGCTCTGGCTGGCGGAGGGTCTCATGCGACTGAAGGGTGTTATGTCCTAGGTCCGATTGCACGAAAATAGTGGGCATGATGACCAACACCCGTTTCTGCCCATTTTGAACGGGATTCGCGGTCGGCTTCGCTGCGGGCGTTATCTTTTTGACCCGAGAAGCGGCTGCCCAGCAGCGGCCGCTGTCAGTGTTAGGCCATCTCTGTTGCTGAGCAGGGTGCCCAGTTCTTTCCGTAGCACTCATATGTGAGGCGCTCCAAAGTGGATGCCCGTCTTCGAGGACCGAAGGAGTTGCCATCTCCTCCTCGGTGGGAGGCGGCGGAAGGCTGCGGAAGTGCAGCGGTGCAACCTCACGCCGGCGGAAACGCCGGCGGCAGGCCGGCAGAAGGCAGCGGAAGTAGAAGATGCGACCCCAAGGGATCGCGACATGTGTTGGGGGTTCAGAATTTCGGGAACCCGCTATGTACACCTTAGGCGATGCTTAAGAAAACTTACGTTTTCGGCCAGAGTCTCGATTATTCTTAACGTTTCAGTGTAAATCTTAAGATTTGAATGGAAATGTTGGGGTTTTTATTCAAGTTCTGAGACTATGAATTTCTTAATCCATGATTCCTTAAGCATTTCGCAGGGTGTATGCCCAGGTCGGGGCTCAAGAGACGGGGGTCACTGCACACGGGGGTCAGCCAGAGCGCCGGAGCTTGCAGGATCCTGCAGCGCCAGGGGTGCACTGACTCGGGCAGGCGCGCAGGATCCTGCAGGATCTATGGCAGGATCCCGCAGAGCCCAACGGACCCGGGTCTGCAATGACCCGGGTCAGTGCGTCCCCGGCCAGACCAGGGCGCGAGCAGGACGTCGTTGGGGTATTTCTTCGACTAGGCGTAAGAGTGACCTCTCGCCGGAGTGACCATTGGTGCGGGCACAGGTGGGTCCCCAGGGGGCCGAAAACGAGGCAGGAGCAGCGGCTTGCGCGTCCAGGTTTGGTGCCCCCGCGGCCCCCCCAAAAGCCGCGCACCAAAGGTCACTCTTGCGTGTAGCCGATTTCTGCAAGTCGTGTTCGCTTCCCCGTGCGTGCTGTTTTCGGGCGCCAGCGCGCGGCCGTCTTGTGTTCGTCTTCGCGGGCGACCGTTTGAAACGAACCAGGCTGTTGGGGGGACGGCGGTGTCGCTGTTGTCATTTTCCCAGCGTTTTAAAACGCAAGCGGTGTTCAGAACAGGAACGTTGTTTTGCTCGCGCCCTGAAATCGAGACCGCGCTTTTTCGCAGATCAAGGGGCCCTCCAAGGGGCCCTCGCTGGGCCCTGGGGCCGTCAGAAAACGACTCGGCATGAAAAGCTGGCACCGGTAACAAAGAAGCCAGGACATCGGATATCTGGGTGCACCACGTCGTTTGGTCGGCCAGGGGGGGCGGTGAGTTCGGCGACAGAGTTTTGCGCACAGAGTATTGATGCTGCAGCGTCCCACGCGTTGGGCAGCCGGGCTGTCCACACACCGAGCTTTTTGGCCGACCAGGCGAGGTGGTGTATGCATCGAACCGTTCTCAGGGCCAGTGGTGGCGTTTTCCGCCTGGAGCGAGGCAGACCGTGCGGTTAACGACGCTGGAGTAAAGAGCACGTCGGGTTCGGAGGGGGCTCGTTGTTCCCCACGCCCTTCCATGGCTGTTTCTCTGGCGCTCCTCGTGAGCTTACTGACGTTTCTTCCCGGACTGCACGCGCAGAAGAATTCTTTGATAGCATCGCTTTGCTCACTCCGCTGGCCCATTTCGCATCACGGTGGCTGCATGGTGGCGCGCTCGTACCCAAGGTGAACGGTGGGGCACGCAGGACTGTCCTCGAGGAGATCTTTGGAGATGTGGCTTGCACCCTGCCGAAGAGAGCCGATGGGCCGCCCCAGAGTGCGCCAGGATGGCTTCAGAGAGCTCCACCAGAGTTTCGAGACGTACCTAGATTGGGTCAGAGTCCGCATGCATGCGTCTTGCGGTCTCTTCGGAGGGCTCTCGGGGGCCTCCGGGGAGCAGTTTTGAGTTTTGAGGCCTCCCGGGATCTTCTTGCGGGCTTCCTGGGGGCCTCTTGGGGCTTCCTGGAGGCCTATTAGGGCTTCCTGGGGGCCTACTGATGGGGGTCTTGGGAGCCTCTTTTGGGGCCTCTTGGAGGCCTCTTGGGGGCCTCTTGGGGGTCTCTCGGGGGCCTCTGGGGGCTTCCTGGCCGCCTCTTGGCGCCGAGAGCTCGAAATGGCTGTTCGGGTTCACCCTCTGGGGGCCCTCTTTGGGCCATCCTGGGGCCGTCTTGGAGGCCTCTCAGGCCGTCTTAGGGCCATCTTGGGCCATTTGGGGTCACTCTTGAGGGCTGTTTGTGCCATTTTGGAGCGTTCTCGGGGCCTCTTGGACGTCCAGAGCGGTCGGCACCTCGAAAAGGGGGTACCGCCAAAATCGTCCGAAAGCCCAAGCAAAATTAATGATTTTTGCGTCTTCGGGGGCCTCTCGAAGTCCTCTTGGATCCCTCCTGGAGCGTCTTGGGCGCTTCTTGGGCCGTTGGGGGACCACCGTGGGCCATCTTGGAACGCTCTTGGCCTGAGGCCGTGGAGCGTGCCACCCTTTTAGCGCCTCGCTCGGGGGGGCTCTGAGGCCGCGCCCAGGAGTTCTGGCATCTGACCCGACCCTGCCGGGGTACTTTTCGCCCGCGGACCCCCAGGGACCGCCACGCGCCTGCGAAGTAGAAACATTATTACACTCTTACCGGAGATGTTTAAACGCCTCTGGCCCGTGGGTCTGGCCAAAAGGAGTAGGAGGGGTGGATATGATGGCCAGGGCTGTGATATCTACCAGATGTCATAGCCCCCCCTCCTCTCTTTCTTGCAACACGCCCGCTGGCCTGCACCCTTCCGCGCACGTGCCTCGAGTCATGATGCGCACCCCCTGCTGTCCCTGGCCCGCCCATTCGGCGCATGAAAACTTCACACGGGCTCAGAGAGAGAGAAAGAGAGAGAGAGAGAGAGAGCGCGCGTTAATTACGCGAGTGTTCGCGACATGCGTCGGCCACGCGCAGAGGGAGGGCATGGAGAGGGGGGAAGGCTTCCCGTGGAAGCACCCATGCTTCTTAGAAGGCGCGGGCCTTCTGTGTAGATGCAGGACCAGCGCCTTCTGAGAAGCAGCCTCCTTCTGAGAAGCCTTCTTCCCTCCCCCTGCCCCCCTGTTCGCGCCGCCCAGTGTGGGCGGCCTCGCGAGCTTGCGGGCACCTGCGTCATGTCTCCTCTTTTCTTCCTTCTCCTCCTTCTCCTCCTCCTCCTCATCATCATCATCATCATCCTTGTCCTCCTCCTCCTCCTCCTCCTCTTCCTCCTCCGCCTGTTCCGCCTCCTCCTCCTCCTCCTCGTCCTACTCCTCCTCCCCCTCCTCCTCCTCCTCCTCCTCCTCCTCTTCCTCCTCCTTCTCCTCCTCTTCCTCCCCCCCCTCCTCCTCCTACTCCTCCTCCTCCTCCTCTCCTCCCTCCTCCTCCTCCTCCTCCTCCTCCTCCTCCTCCTCCTCCTCCTCCTCCTCCTCCTCCTCCCCCTGCTCAGGCTCCGCCCCAGCGCAGGCCCCCCCGAGTGCGGAGTCCCTCAGCAGGAACGCTCGCCGCGATGGGGGCAGCCGCGCCCGTGGGGCAGCCATGACGGCCAGGGTGCCCCCCCAGGCTGGGGGCTGGCGCGCACGCCCTGTGCTCTGGCTCGCGGCGCTGGGCGCGCTGGGCGGCGGCGTCCAATGGGCCGGGGCGCCCCCCGTCGCGGCGGGCGGCACCCCAGCCATGTCAGGAGGGTGCGGCAGGGAGGCCCCCATGTCCACCTACAACCCGCAGAATCGGGTCGACGCGGTCGCGGCCGCGCTCAAGGGCATCGGGGCGAATGGCATGCCTGGCACCTGCGTTCGCGCTTGGCACGGCGAACCCCATCACCGAGCGGGTGCCCCTTGTCATCACGTGATACACTTTGGCGGGACTTGCTCGGCCATGGTGAACAAGGCGTGCGGGTGCTCGATCTTCTGGTCGAAGTTCTATGCGATGAACGTCAGGAGGATCATCCCGCCGCCTGGCGGCCTTCGTGGCAGAAGGGGCATAGTCTACGGGGAGTCGGGCCCGCCGCGACGGTCCCGCCCAGGGGAGGTCAAGCTCTGGAAGACCACGAGCACGCGCCTCACCGCCTGGGCCCGCGACGAGTTCCTCCCAGTGCCCAGCCGCTCCACACCTGGGATTATGACAGACCTCAATGGGCTTCGCCGACGCGGGGATGACGACTATGCTGTCGGCCCCTTACGGTAGCGAGCGGGAGCCCCTCAGTGGCCAGACGTACCACGAGCTGCACAAGCGGATGAAGCTGACGGCGGTCAACACGCAGTGGGACACGGGCCACACGTTCTTAGGCTCGAGCGGGGCGTCCTCACTGATCGATTACGTGTGCCTCCCGCAGTCTGCCGCCGAGGTGGCCGAGGAGGATGACGTGGACTACGTGACTACGATCCCCCAGGTTTAGGCACCAGCCGCTGACGGTGGTCTACCAGGGCGTGGACCAGGAGGTGGCGATCACCAGCGGCACGGAGGGCTTCACGGGCGACACCTCCGAGCCCGAATTCTTCATGAGCAACTACCACATCGCGGCCCTGAGGGGGGCCCTCGTGGACCAGGCGGCCACCAGCGAGGCGATGCTTATCAACTTCGGCGACAGCCCGCCCATGATGGACGCGAGCCTGGGGTGCATCAGGGATGACATCTTCAAAACGCAGCTCGTTCCGCCCACCGCGCGCTCAGCCTTGGTGGAGGGGCGGGGCTACCAGCGGAACGATGCAGGCCTTGGCACTGCGCTGGATGCGTGGCAGCAGTACGGCCACACTCGAGCGAAGCTGGACGTGGTCGCCACGCTGGGTTTACGGCAGCGGGTCCTCCAGACTTTCCAGGCTCTTGCCAGCAGTGGGTGCCGAAGCGGCTACGAGCTCAAGCACCTGGCGGGCAGGTTCAACGCGGTGCACTCCAACGCGACGGAGTTGGCCATGCGCCTGGCGGTGTTCAACGAGGGCGGGATGATATTGCAGGGCTTCTGGCACTCCTCCACCCCCAAGCGCGCCAAGCGTCCCATGATCATCAACTGGGTGTGGGGGGCGGCCGTGTCAGGCACCACGGCCTACTGCTGGACCGTCTCGGGGGCTCGCCATTGTAGCAGTTCTTTGTCGCACTGGTTCTGGAGCCTCGTCCCGTCCAGGGTGGGCCACGTCGTGAGTGTCTTCTTCGGGGAAATGAAGTGGGAGCTGAGTAGTGAATATAGAGGCCCACCTACGCATGTGGAGTCTGGGCAGTTCAATTCGGCTGCTGTTATTCATCCTTGGGCGCGTCAGTTGCAACGCGATCTTGAGGCCCTCCGCGACCACCCAGAGGCGGAATTCTCCTTTCTGGCCTGGGCGAGCCGTACGCTGAGGGACTTGCGGTGGGACGAGGAGGTGAACGGCCTCTTTGTCTCCCTCGATTTAAGGTGCTCGCGGAGCGCCTTCGCTGTTGTACAGCGGGCACCACCTGGAGCGATCGTGGCTTCGGAACCCGCAGCTCAGGATGATGAAAACAGCTGGGAGGACCCAGAGGGCCAGAAGTTCACTTGTCAAGTTCGTGGCGACCCCGAAGGCCCCACCTGTGGCCCACGCCGGGCAACGCATGTATCAGTGGTGGCACGACACTACAGACGAGAACGGAGAAGGAGCGGCACCTTGCACGCGCGTGGCACGCGGACTGGTGGAGCGCAGCCCAGGCCCGCCGACAGCGACAGTCGCAAGAGCTTGAAGGACGGCACGGGCGCGATCCTGGAGGACAAGTCGCTTGTGTTCAAGGCGATGCAGCAGGAGAGCCAGGACTTCGTGCAGGTGGCGAACCAGAAGCGCGCGGAGGTCAGTAGGCTGATGGACCAGGCCAAGGAGCCGAAGGACACGGTTGGGGCAGCAGCCCACCAGGTCGACAAGGAGGCCGACAAGACGATGGATGGACCTCGCAACCTGGGCCCCCCCGCGCCCGCGGTCTTCTGCGCCATGATCGAGGCGATGGCGGATGAGGAGATCGGCAAGAGGCCCAATGACGTCCAGGTCGCGCGGCTGGCCGAGATGGAGGAGGAGCCCCCCACCTACTTTGGCCTGCCGCCTGGAGAGCTGCAAGCAGCTCGACGCTTTGAAGGTGGAGTTCGCGCTGGACCGTATGGACCTCGAGGGATAGGTGATGGAAGCCTTCCGCACCATGGGGGAGGTGACGACGGAGGGCGCAGCCCTGTGTGGGTACCCCGAGGACGAGATCTCGGCTTGGATCGAGGTGCTGAAGGACGCCTGAGCGTTGCGGGTGCTCCAGAGGCGACTTCCCAGGCCGAGGATGAAGATGAAATCAGTTGAGGCCTGGCTCTAGAGAGTTCGGGTTCGGAGGGCGCGGGCACCGCGCCGTAGCCATTGAGCTTCGGCAGTGCGGCCTCGTGCACCTGGCAGTGTGACGCACTCTAAGGGTGCGGACGGCGGACGCACGATTAGGATGGCCCCCCTGCTCCTCTTCGCCTCCCTCCTCGCCCTTCGCCCTTCGTGGCCCCTGCCCGTCGCTCGTGGCCTCCCTCTCTGCTCGGCCCCCTCGGTCGGTCCTCTCGGCCTGCTCGGTCCCTCGTGTTGGCGCGGCTAGAGCTTTCCGAGGCACGATACCAGTCAGTGGAGCAGTCTTTCTGATCTCTCGTCCCACAGCCGCTCACAGACAGACAGACAGACTCCCCCTGCTCCTCCTCCTCCTCCTTCTCCTCCTCCGCCTTCTCCTTTTCCTTCTGCTCCCCCTCCCCCCCCCTCCTCCTCCTCCCCCCTCCTCCTCCTCCTCCTCCTCCTCCTCCTCCTCCTTCTCCTCCTCCTCCTTTTTCCCCTCCTCCGCCTCCTCCTTCTCCTCTTCCTCCTCCTCCTCCTCCTCCTCCTCCTCCTCCTCCTCCTCCTCTTGCTCCTGGTCGTTGTCCTCCTCCTCCGCCTCCTCTTCCTCCGCCTCCTTGGGGCGCTCCTTGTGGCCTCTGCAAGGATGCCCTGGAAGTCATTTGTCGGAACGCACCCCTCGCCAGGACTGGGGGGGCGATTTTTTTGACCCCCTCCTCCTCCTCTTCCTCTTTTCCCTCTTCCCCCTCCCCGAGCCCAGTCCCCCTCGCGACTTTGGACCCCCTTCTCCTCCTCTTCCTCCTCCTCCTCCTCCTCCTCCTTCTGCTCCCCCTCCCCCTCCCCCCCGAACCACGTAAGGGGACCTTCTGCCGTGGTGTCGAGCGGAGGCAAAGCAGGAGCGAGTACGTCCGGGGCTATTGTGCTCAAGGTTGTCGACACCAGTAGATGATTAGTACTAAGCGTAACACGGATTACTATATAGAGTAGAGGGAAAGATCCCATCAGTTTCTAAATCAGCTTCAGGGCTTACCGTCCTCCGATGGCTTTTTTCTACTGAGCCCAGGCCCCCTCGCGTCGTCAAGAGATCACGGCGAGAGGTGTTGTTACAGTGCTCGGCCTCCAGTGGGCCTCATGCCAGGGCCTGGGGTTGGCAAAGAGCGACGCCGACTCCAGGTGGAAGAGCTGGTCTCGGGGGTCTCGGGAAAGGTGTCCAGACTTGCGGAGGCTCGGCAGGGCGACTCTTGGTGTGCACGGCGCTCCGGGGGCCTGGGGAGACTAAGGCCCCAACGCGCAGACCGCTTCTGGCGCGTCGCCTGCGCAAGGACGGCCAAGCCAGCGAGTCGCGCATCAGAGGTGCCGTTGTAGCATGCCGCTCTGGCCTGGGGCCACGCTCGCGTGCCGCCGACGCCTCGGCACATGCTCTCACCACCCACCGAACCACCCCAACCCAACCCGAAGGCCCACCTTGACCCTCGATTTCCAGTGGGGGGGGGGTCGGGGAACATCGACAAAAACACGTGTGGAACCCGTACCCTCCCCCAACCCGAAACTTCGGTCTTCGAGTTAGGCTGGGGTGGTCTGGTAGGTAGTCGTGCTCCCCGTGCCCGTCGGGCGCAGACGCCCCAGCCGCCTCGGAGGCCCACCACGCCTCGATCCCAGCGCGCACCCTCCTCCCCTTGGCATCGCTCGGACGTGTGCATTTCTTCCCTCGGCGAGGGCCCTCGAGGAGCATCCTCGATCACTTGGCGACAAAGCCACGCACGAGACCGAAGAAAGCACAGGGGAGTGGACGTCCGAGCGATGGCCACTTCCGGCACGGCCGCCCCCGGGCCCCGAGGCCGCGCGCCGCGGGCGAGTGGAGGGCCCACGCGGGCGTCGGGGGGGCCGGCGGGGGGGGGGGGGGCCTCGGCAGGGCGGCGAGGCCGTGCCGCGTGGCCGCGATGCCAGCGCCCACTCAGGAGGGAAAAAAACACACAGACACACACACACAGACACAATGAATCGTCGATTCCCCCAGAAAATATGGGAAAGTATGGGAAGTGGGGGGAAGACAAACATCAGGAAATATAGCAAGATATGGGGAATCTTTTTGTTTGTGTGTATTTATATTTGTGTGTCCTGGGGCCCCTTCACCCACGTCGTCTTAGGGGGGGGGCACCTCTCGACTAGACGCAAGAGTGACCTTTCGCCGGAAAGCGGGCCAAATGGGGTCCCTCCCCGATGGCCGAGCGCGGGGCGGCAGTGGCGTCTTGCGCGCTCGTGTGTTGGCCCCCCGCGGCACCCCAAGAGCCGCGCGCCAGAGGCCACTCTTACCCAGGGTCACTCTTGCGTGTAATGGAGGATGACGATTAATAAATGACCGGGGGTCGTGTGCACGCGGCGGCGCCCGGGATGACGATTAGAAAAAACCGGCCGCGGGCTGGAAAACTATTCTTTTCAATCGCTCTCCTCCAGTCCGAAAACTATGCAGAAATAACAGAAAACTATTTTTTCAATCGTTCTCTCCAATTTTTGTTTATCAATCGTCATCCCGCATTAGCCGAACCTCTCGCCGTAAGGGAAGCGGGGCCCCGAGCTCCGACGTCGCAGGAGCACACGGCAGCGGCGCAGGGCAGCGCGGCAGAGCGGGCCGCGCGGACGGGGGGGCTGGGCCGAGGAGGGGACGTCTGGACTCTGCTGCCTGCTGCGGGTCCGTCACGCCGCGCAGCGGAGGTGCGCTCTCTTCCCCAGGAGCGCCGCTTCTCTCTTCGCCCCCCCCCCCTTCGTCTCATCTATTTACAGCCCTCTACCTCCGCGTCTTCGCCCGAGCGTGTCCGGGCGAGAGCACAAGTGCGACGCCTGGAGCATGAGCAGGCGCGACGCTCGCTGCACCCAGCTGGGCGCTATCTCTTATCAGCGGGCGGTCCGCGATCAACGACGCCGCCCAGCTAGGTGCAGCAACCTCTTACGGCGAACCAGCCAGAGCAGCGGATTCACGACCTTCTCCTACTTGTTAATGTGTGAAGGTTTTCGGCGTTGCTACGTCGAGGTGTTCGTCGATGGGGTGATGATTATATGCAGCCGGTGCAGGCACCGAACTAGCTGCATGGAGCTCGCTTCCCCGCCAGGTCAGCTCCACACAGCCGGCCGGGCGTGGAGGAGGACCGCCTGGTCATGGTTGCCACCACAGGTGCTATCATCAACTGAAACATGTTACGCACCAGCCTCAAATTAGCAAACCCTCGACCTGGCCCTTTACCCTGACCTTCCAGAGTGCTGGAAAATAACCTTCCAGACCTGCAGACCTACCTGGACTGCTTGAAACCTCGACGGGAATTTCGATGTCGACGTCCTGGTGCTATTTTTTGGCCCTCCTGGAAGGGCAGGGTACTATCCCCCCCCCTTTCGCGCGGCCCGACCGGAGCCCTGACCTAATATTTCTGCGTTCGTTTCGAGCCGGATCGATCCGTGATGGGCCCGGAGCCCGAAGGGGAGCGACGACGCCCATTTGTGAACAAACCAGGTTCGCAGGGGAGCCCATGAGGCACACGGGTCCCAGATCCTGGGGCAGGGCTAGACCCAAGCCGTGCTCGGACGACTTCTCCTGGGCCGTCCTCGTTTTGTGAGGTCGCTTTGCAGCAAGAGGCTGACGGAAGACCAAGACGAGGGAGAAGGAAGGCGGAGCGAAAGCGAAAAGCACCGTTCAGGGGCGGCGTCCCAGTAGATGGACCATCGATCCGAACCCTTACACATTCGAGGGAGATTCCAAATCACCCCCCCCGCGCCCCCGACATCAACGCTGATCTCAGCGCAAAGGCGGAGCTCTGGGGTTCGAAGATTTCTGTCCACGCACGCCCCCCGCCGCCACGCCATCAACCTCGATTTTTCGGGGAGCCTGGGGGGGGCATCTGGGGCCACAGGCCTCGAACATGTTGTCCACGTGCGGTCCCTGCCCTCCCGGGCGGGGCCCGCGCCTCACTCCCCGGCCTCCGCGCGCCCCTGCCCGTCGCGGCGGCCCCGCGGCCCCGTGGCGCGCGCCCGCAGCGCGGGGGCCCGACGCCCCGGAGAGGAGCAGCCTCATCTCAAGCAGTGGCGAAGCGTCCTGGCTCGCCTTTAGCCCTACCAAACAGTGCTCTTAGAAGCTTTTTTGTGGTTTCCACGACATGTTCTTGGAGCATTTCTGGTTGAGATCGTCTTGTTTTAACACGTCGGGTTTATGTTCTAGGAACATCGTTATTATTATTAGAACATTTTAGGGTTCTAAGATCATGTCGTGGTAGGGCTATAGGAATGCCGGGACGGTCGGTCCCTGCTCTATCATCGGGGCCCCCTTTCCGTTCTTCGGGGGCGGCAACGAGGGGGGTGATGACTGCAGTCGGCCCGGATTGGTGGGTCGACCCTGCCAGCTCAAGGGTCCCCCTGTGTCCTGGGCCTCGCGACACGTGCCTTCTCACACACCTATAGGGCGATGTGGCCCTCGGAAGGGTCTTGTGTCCTCTCGCGTGTCCTGTCCAATCAAGGCCGACTGTAGGGGGGCGGATATCATGGCGTGGGCCATGACAGTTCCTCAGATTTCATGGCGCCTCTCTTCTTATTTCGTGACGCTCCCAGCCCCCCCCCTTGGGCCATGCACGTTCCGCCGGTCATGATTGGCACCCCCGCCCCTCTTTGGACGCCCCCCTTTTGGCCGCCCCTTGCGCTCGGGACCCGGGGCAACCACAATTGGCAGCGAACAGCTTTGTCCGTCGCGCAAAATCCGTTCGGCCCCCAAAAATATGTGTGGTTCGGTCGCAGAAAAAAAAAGTCCGGCTCGGTCCCAGAAGCTGTTCTCGTCGGTCTCGGCTTCTCTCCCTTCGTGCTAGGAAAGGGGAGAGGGGCCCGCGGGGCCCGCCCCGCACTTCCCCGGAGCTGGGCCTCGCACGCCGTGCCGTGCACGCCTGGCGCCGCGCGCGCGGCGGCCGCCGCGGCGCTCGGCACCGCCGTGGCCCGCGCTGCGGCCGAGCTGCGAGGCGCGGCGTCGCCACCTCGGGGCGTGTGCCGTCGCGCCTACGCGCGGGGGCGGCGAGGACTCTTTGCCGCGCCCGCGCGCGGGCCGTCTCGGGCCATCTCAGGGCCATCTTCGGCCGTCTTGGTGGGCTCCTGGCCCGCTTGACGCCGTCGGAAGCCGTCTTGGGGGCCTCTCTGGGCGACTTGGGGCCCTGTTGGGGTGCTCCAGGGCAGTCTCGGAGGCTTCCTTGAGCGTCTTAGAGGCCTCTTGGGCAGTCTTTTGGCCCTCCCGCCTGCCGGCTGGCCCGTCCAGGGTCTGGCTCTTCTCTTCCCCCCGGACACGGGCGCGAGGGGCACCATCGCGGGGCTCAAGAGGCGGGGGTCGATGCAAAGCGGGGTCGGCCAGAGCGTCCGATCTTGCAGGATCCTGCAGGGCCAGGGCCGCACTGACCCGGGCTTTTGGGCGCAGGATCCTGCAGGATATATTGCAGGAGTTTTGCGGGATATGGCAGGAGCTTTCGCATTGACCTGGGCCAGGGTGCAGGTCTCTGCAGGATCTTGCAGGATTCTGCGAGGCCTGACTGACCCGGGTCTGGATTGACCCAGGTCAGAAGATCCCCGACTGGCTCTTCTTTCGCCCCCGGACACGGGGGCGAGGGGCATTGGCCGCACAGGCTCTCCTCCTCTCGGGCGTGCGCGTTTTCAGGTAGCTGTTGGCCGCGGCACCGTGCTGTGCAGCAGACTTGGCGCTCCAGATGGCGGTTGACTGCCCAGCAAAAGAGGCTCTCCTCCACGCGCCCCCCCCCTTTCCCACTGCCCCCCTCCCCTCGCTTCATCCCCCGTCTTCCCGGCCTCCTTCCCACTCTCTCTCTCACTCTCTCCCTCCCTGCCCCCCCCCCTCCCCCCTCGCCGCTGCCTGCCACCCCTACCCCCCGCCCCACTCCCTTCACTCCTTCCCCCCCGTCCTCTTCCCCGCCGCCCACCCCAGACCCCCGACGTAGTTTTTTTGATTGTTTGTCATGACGCGACCCCCACAGGTCTGGACCCCATTCCCCCTGGATCGGTGTTCGTCACGCCCCGATCCGTTTTGTCGACGGCCCCGAGGCCCGGTGAGGGCGCCCAATATGGAGGCCGAAGGTAGCGCAAAACCTTCCGCCGTGAGTTTTTACGATTCGAGGGGCGTCTGGGTCCCTCGCCTCCTCCTCCCCTTCCCCCCCTCCTCCTCCGCCTCCTCGTCCTTCTCCTCCTCCTCCTCCTCCTCCTCCTCCTCCGCCTCCTCCTCCTCCTCCTCCTCCTCCTCCTCCTCCTCCTCCTCCTCCTCCTCCTCCTCCTCCCCCCATCTCTCCAGGTCTCCTGGATGGGGTCCGAGCAGACGGGGTCGGAGGCTAGGACCGTGGCGCACCACCGACGCATCTCAGCGATGCGGAGCCCCGACTTTCTCCACGCCGACGGCGCCGAGGCCTCGCGGAGGTCGCCGAGGCAGCGCCGATTCACCGGTGCTGAATCGCCGATGCATCGCCGAGGTCGCGCGCTCTCGGACCCCACCCGGGAGGCCCATGCCCCAGCAGGAGGAGAACAGGAGGAGGCGGAGGAGGAGGAGGAGGAGGAGGAGAGGAGGAGGAGGAGGAGGAGGAGAGGCGGAGGTGGCGGAGGAGGAGGAGGAGGAGGAGGAGGAGGAGGAGGAGGAGGAGGAAGAGGAGGCGGAGGCGGCGGATGAGAGGGGGAGGAGGAGGGGAAGAGGAGGGGGAGGGGGAGGGCGAGGGGGAGGAGGAGGAGGAGAGGAGGAGGAGGAGGAGGAGGAGGAAGGAGGAGGAGGAGAGGAGGAGGAGGAGGAGGAGGAGGAGGAGGAGGAGGAGGAGGAGGAGGAGGAAGCGGAGGAGGAGGAGGAGGAGGAGGAGGAGGCGGAGGAGGAGGCGAGGGCACGCGGAGGAGGGGGCCCAGGGCGCGGCCCGCGAGGCGCCGGCGGCCGGCGGCAGGCTCTACGGGGACGAGCACCGGCAGGGCCCCGAGGGGCCGCGCCACGCGGAAGGCCGACGCGGCAGCCGGGGGGGCCCACGCGCCTGCCAACGGGATGTTAGGAAACGGGGTGGTAGCTAGCCCTGGCCCAGACACCGGGCGTCTCGAAAAGATCGAGACAGAGGTTTTTCATAGTTTTTGGCCTTTCGGGGCCCTCGCCTGGCCTCGGGGCCGTCAAAAACGACTCGGGATGAAGAACATGTCCCAGGGAAGTGGTCGGGAGATTGGGGGCCCGCGTCTCGAAAAAATTGAGACGTCGGATGACTGGGCAGATCCTGGCGTTGCAACTTCAAGTCTTTCACAACGGGCATCTTCGCTCGAGTTCGGGCCCCGGGGCCCTCACGGATCGGTCCGGCTCCCAAGATGGCGCAGGAAGATGGTGTCCAGGGCTCCGGTCGCGGTTTTCTTCGATGTTGCAAGTTTTGAGCAACGGCGGATCTCAGGGAAGGGGCCTCTACTCTACGAGCGAGTAGAGGGTGACAGGGCATGTGCCTCGCACTCGTGCGTGATAAATCGGGACGACAAGATCGTTGATACATGCATCATCATATCTCTGGGAGGGGGGGGTACCTCACACTTGCGCGCAGCAATTCCAGTTTTCGAAGGCACAATTGAAAACGCACCCTTAGCTGCCACCCCGTTTACAAATCCTCCGTTTGCAGGGGCTTCGGGGGCAGCGCGCGATCCCCCAAGACTGAAGTCGGGCATGTCCTCTACAGGAGGAGTATTCAAAAATAGTCCGACTTTCGTCTGGGGACGATGTTTCGACTGTGTCTAGATATTCGTTCGCATTTTCTTGCAAATCGTTATGTTCCGTCCAGAATTGTCTGTAGGAGGACATGCCCGACCTAGACCAAGACCTCCTCCTCGGTAGGTCTTTCGGTCGATGAGGGCTGCGTCCGGAAGCCCATGCAGTGCAAGAGACGGGGGGTGGATGGGAATCGGAACGGAGAGCAGCACGCAGCATGCCGCTGCAGGCGAGCATGCTCTGGACAGTGCTGCCGCCCGACGGGAGACACACAGATTGCGCGCGCACACATCTGACATAGCCACGAACAGCCCGCCTGAATCACCTGTGCCAACGAGGCGTTGCGTTGTAAAGTCAGGGGCGACCTTCTCCTCCTCTTCCTTCTCCTCCTCCGCCTCCTTCTCTCCCTCTGTCTTCGAAGAGAACCATTTCAATAGCAAGGATCCTCTGATTGCCGCGGGTATCGCAGCTGCCAAAGTTGCGTACTTCCGTGAACAGCGGACTCTCTTGATCCTGTCGTTCTTGCCCAGTGGTGCTGCGATCGAGTCACTGCAAATTCTTTACGCTTCGCGTATCCCCACCAGCCCATCTCACAGCAGCAACTCTTGCGAAGCATGCCGACAGTCGTGTTTTTCAGGCGTGTGTCCGCTTGGCCCCGCATATCTCCCATGTTCCTTGTTCCTCCCGCCTCCTTGTACATCCTCCTTGTGGGGGGAGCGGGAGAAGGACGAGGCGGAGGAGGAGGGAGAGAGAGCGCTCCTCGTGATTTGAGTCGTTTGGGGTTTCTCGTCCTGGTGTGAGTCGTTCGGGCCCTTCTTCCTGGTGTGAGTCGTTCGGGCTCTTCGTGGTGTGAGTCGTTCGGGCTCTTCGTCCTGGTGTGAGTCGTTCGGGCTTCTCGTGGTGTGAGTTGTTCGGGCCCCTCATCCTGGTGTGAGTCGTTCGGGCCCCTCCTCCTGGTGTGACTCGTTCGGGCTCCTCGTGGTGTGAGTCGTTCGGGGCCCGCGTCGTGGTGTGAGTCGTTCGGGCTCCTCGTGGTGTGAGTCGTTCGGGCGCCTCGTCCTGGTGTGAGTCGTTCGGGCCCTTCCCTGTGGTGTGAGTCGTTCGGGCTCCTCGTGGTGTGAGTCGTTGGGGTCTCTCGTCCTGGTGTGAGTCGTTCGGGCTCCTCGTGGGGCCTCTTGGGGGCCTCTTGGAGCTTCTTGGGGCCTCTTGGGGGCCTCTTGGGGGCCTCTGGGGGGCCTCTTGGGGGCCTCTTGGAGCCTCTTGGGGCCGCTTGGGCGCCTCTTGGAGGCCCCTTGGGGACCTCTTGGGGCCTCTTGGGGGCCTCTTGGGGGCCTCTTGGAGGCCTCTTGGGAGCCTCCTGGGGGCCTCTCGGGGCCATCTTAGGGCCTCTTGCGACCTCCTCAGAAGCGCAGATGAGCGCTGCCCCCTGAGAAGGACAAACTGAGCCCGAAACTTTCGTAAAATCAATGATTTTGCTATGAGGGAAGATGAGCGCGGCCCCCTCAGAAGGCCAACATGGGGCCAAAACCCTAGTAAAATCAATGTTTCTGGCTTCAAAGAAGCGCAGAGGGGCCAAACTGTGCCCCCCCGTCGGGGCCAGAATCCTCGTGAGGGTCGTCGTTTTTTGGCCCTCCCAGGAGTCGGAAAAGACCCCTCCAACGACCCGCGGGACCCCCTCTCCAAGTCCAGGGGGAGGGGGGAGGGGGAGGGGTAAACCCCTCCCCGAAGGGGAAGAGGGGTTGAGGACAGAGAGAGCTCGCTAAAC